GTTGAGATAAAAACAGATAACAGCGTAATTTATTTCCAAGTTTTGGGCAAAACATTTCTCGATCGAAATATAATTATGACCTACGTTGTAAGCAATAATTTTTCGTTGTGATTCACCCGACGGTACGTACGCACCGATAGATCTATAGGATGTCCGTATTGATCGAACCACACCCGTATTTCCTACACCCTCTACCTCGCCTTCACCCTTCCTCCCTTCCACCTCCCCGCGGCACGCACGCGGATGTCAACGTAAATGCGTGCGCACAGAAATCGACGTAATCGTTCGTAGCCGAAAAGCTCCAACTTATGCAACGATTTATTCTTAATTTAATCATGAATCCGAAAATCTGAAGTGAATCCGAGAATACGAAAAAGAATTTATTGAAGAGGCATAACATTACTAATCGGGATGATAATCTCAAGATTTCTTGGACATCATCGTCATGATCGTCGAGATTGTCGACGATACCCATATAAAAGCACATCCATGGCACTTCAGATCTGGACTTGACGTCGACAGCTGCAGCGGGCACTTATGCACTTTGCGATTATTCCGCGAGTAACATTATATCGTAATGCTGCTGAGATGGAGCTAAGTCACAAAAAAAATTCGAAGAATTCAGGATCTTATCATCGGAAGAATCAAAGCTCCTAAAGATTCGAATTCTGGATGAGAACTCGAGACTCCAACAAGCAACAACCCGCGAATTCAAAAAGACTCGAAGGTCTATCCAGATAAACTTGTAGAGCTCCACAATCATGAGTACAAGGAAAATTATCCAATCGAATTTTACAACAGAAATGCGATTGGATAATTTCTTAATACGTATGATTTATGCAGCTATGCAAGTTTGTCTGGCTAGAAGGATTCAATGGCTACGTTTACACCGTGCGCTTAGTCCGCGACCTATACGGTAGGTGTCTTTGTTTAATATACAGGATAAACAAAGACATCTATCGTAAGGGCCGCGGCCTAAATGCACGGTGTAAACGTAGCCAATGACCGGTAGGTGAAGATAGAAGTCCGAAGATTCGAAGATCTAAACTCGCAATGGTAAACTAAAAAAGTGGTAATTAAAAGCCGCGAATAATTCTTTCTTGCGCCTTACGTTGATGCATGGTTAACGCACTCATGATGGGTTTGCATAATGACGGTTTATGCACAAATAGTGCGTGAATGACCGGCGATATCGCGTGTAAGTAGACACACGTATGCACATTCGCACGCACGTAAAATTCTCAGCGTATTTGGAATTTATACGGGCGAAAGCTCGCGCGCTCGCGTTTTCGTGGAAGCATTGCCCGATGAAAGACGTCATTGTATCTGTCTCGTCGAGTTTATCGTACTAATGAGGTCTTAATATCGCGTTATGGGAAACTTTGAACGGATACCATTCAGCGGACGGTGATACGCCACCGCGATCCGCGTGTGTGCCTCTCTCTCTCCTTTTCTCCCTCGCTCTCTTTCTCTCCCCGTGCTTTAAGGCGTTTCCAACACTCGCCTTTCATCGCGAGCACGCCTTTTTTCTCCGTCGCTTCCAATTTCTTACAGGAACGCCTCGGAGAAAGAGAGAGAGAAAGAGAGATAAAAGGGAATACTCGCGGAATGTAAAAAGAGATTACAGAATACTGGGTGAACTTCGCTCCAAAATGACATAAATGTTTATATATACGTCCTCGGTTCTTCCTCCGTTAGAAAAAGAAACTACGGTGCAAAACGAGAATGCGTTATTGGGTTCTCGGGACCGCTTGAGTTTAAACTTCCGAAGCAGAATCCGAACAAACTCGGCTTGCGAGCTCGCTTTCTTTCGTCGTCGGGAATATCTATTATACATGAAATAAGGTGGTTCATTGGACTTTATGCTGTCTCACTGTAGATACGAGCGGAAGGACTGTTTTATTCAGGAGTAATCGTCCATTTCCTACGGCGAATAGATTCAGCATGAGTAATCAAGAACGAGATACATGGAATACGGGAAACTACTCGCGAATGTAATCGCTCATAATAAAAAATTCAATATTGAAAAAAGACGAATACGAGATCAGTCTTCCGTGGAAATTTCAATTTTGATTTTATAAATTTTAATAATTATTATTTTAGAACACAGTATTAATTTTTCCGTCAAGTTTCTCGCCGTCAAATTTCCGAGAAATTTACTTGGATACCTTCGTTGAATAATATTTTTATCGGGAATTTATAATAATATAAAAACTCCTTTTATGTATGGTAAAATAAAAAAAATGATTTCTCAAATAAAGTTATCAAAAAAAAGTATTGATCTAAATGCAGTTCTAGCAACGACACGCACTTTTAATACTGCTTCCACTTTCGAACGCGACATCTTAAATTCGACATTTCCTGCGACGAATAACCCTTTCACTACAAAGGGCGCGTGTACGCCCAAATGGAGTTCACGCTCACATGCGAAGAGCGTGAACGCACGCACGACTAAAATGGAAGAATGCCTCAAGCTGTAACGGCAAAGATGAATAAAAAAAAAGCAATAGAGTGATTGCGCTCCGTTGTAAACATTGTTCACATAATTAAATCACGTAACAAAAGCGCCCGTATTAAATCCCCCCTTTCCTTCTATGTCATATAAATTTATACTTTTTGGAGTGAAATATCTTTGACAGGATTAGTGTTTCTACGAAAAGAAGAGGCGCTTGAGTTTCTTCAAAAGACAGTCACGTGACGTAAAAAAAGAAGAAATATTATTTATCAGCTTGTTGTCCAATTCTCTAACCTTTACAATAATATTGTTATCGTTATATAGATTTCGTTTAGTAGAAAAAACAATTTTGCGACTGTCGTAAAATTCTTTAATACGATTTTTCGCAATAAATTATTTACATTTATTAAAATGGACGATCAATTTAAATTGAGATATTAATTTCTTCAACTTCAGTTTGCGATTGCGTTTCAAATCCGACAAACCTTATCGATGCGCAGTTTATAAAACTGAAAAAATACATTTGCAAAAATTTACATTTAGTATTATTAAGCACTAAAATCCGCTTTGAAGTAAGATTACTTTTAATAATTAACATAATTGGTTTATACATTTAGATCCAGTGAGGAACTAAGGACCAATTACTAAATCAATTACATTAATAAATTTCACAACAGTTACAAAGCTGCTTTTTCTGCTGAACGCAGCCATTGTCGCCGCGCAGCTTTTTTACCGCACATAATTCCTGCGCAATGATAACGGTATTGACGCTGTCGTTAAAAGTTACGGAATCATGGTACCGTACCGGTATTTTATCGAAACGACAAACCGAGCGGTACTTTATTTAGCCGTCCGTCCCGACGACGGGGGTGCTCGCAGCTTAACGAACGTGTCTGCAGCGGGGCAGACAAATTTATTCGCCGGCATTGGCAGCGTGATATCTTTCTATGGGGGCTATTTTCTCATCAATCCCAATAGCTTTTATAAAACGTGACTCACGCGTGAAAAGGTCCGCGCGCAGCCTTTGGCGAATCCGATGTTCGCCATCTCCCCCGTGCACCATCATCATCGCGACTGTCCCTGGCCGCGAGAGATAAAGCCGCCTCTCTTTCAGGATATGATACACGCGGCGAGGCCGTTATACATACATCTCTCTCCTTTTTATAATTGAAAAATCAAGCCGGCAGCCTTCTCGCACGTAATGTAATAAATAGCCGATCGTCGTGATTCATGAATTCTCGCGGCAACGCCCGCGTTTCGGAAATTGATTAATCGACCACTGATGATCGAGCACCGATCGACAGTCGCGTGCGTGGCGAATGGGATGTTCGGAGGCGAAGTGCATCGATAAATTCTAATATGAGAATGCAACACGGGGTCTACACTTTCGACCGTTAACAAATCGTTATTCCGACGTGTTTTTATCACGCCCCCCTGCGCTTTGTATTGTCGTTAAACGGGGCAGGAGTGCAGCGGCATCAAGTGTCGATATTAAGCGCATTTTTCAACTATTTAATCGCGATCTCTCGAGCGATCAATGCCCGGGCGATGTTACACTTGGAGAGGAAAAAAAAACAAACGAAACGGTTAGCGACGTTAGCGTTAATAAAAATAATAAAAATTTTATGTACGATAATTTCGATCTAATGAGGCGTGGATTGCCGAGCTTCAACATTTATGTTCCTCAATTCCACTCGCTTAGATGATTAGGATCTAGTCGCTGATTACTACGACCCGCATATCGCGGAGTGTAATGTAGTCACCAAAAGTTTCCGTAATTTATCGTGGGAAAGTGGGAGCGAGAGGTCGAACGATCTAGAAAATTTATATCGACATCGCAACAAAATGAAAGATGACGTAATCTGTAACTTTTTTATGCCGATCCTTCGACCTTCGCATCTTCGCGCAGCGATGAACGACGAGTGCAGCAAAATGCATTACGAAGGGCATCCGAAAGTCGAACCGTGTGCCGCACCCTGCCGCGTATTTTCGTGACAAAGGTTTCTCGAACGAAAGTCCATATGGACGCCGCTTATTTCGCTCCGAACGTGACCTTCCGATCTCCGAATCTCATATTCGCCGAGAACGGAAATTTAACGAAAACAATGAGACGAAAATTCGCCGTTTATCGATTTATGCGCGATTCTGACAGGCGATTTGAAAATTCAAACAGTTTTTCTCGTCGGAAGATAGAGAATGGCAAGATTATCAATCGACTGGGATCAATGAAATTCTCTCGGGAATTTTCGATCGAAAATATGATACGTATATGTAGACAATGGCTCGCTCGTTCGTGAGCAGGCCGGTCGAACTGCGCGAGTTCGAGACGCTCCAGCGGTTTAATAGGGAAAATATGGCTTCTATCGGCGTTCCATCTAACGGCTCGGTGCAGCGCTGAACGATGCGTAGGGAATATAGACCAAGAGTCTGGCGCGCGAACACTCGGAGCAGTCCGGAGCAGAGAGAAAGGGCGGAAGGGCGAAAGCGAGAAAGAGAAAAAGAGAAAGGGAGAGAGAGAGAGAGAGAAAGAGCGAAGCGAACTCACCAGGCTTTGACGCGTATAAGGACCTCTCCCTCGCCAAGGGCAGGCTCCGGCTTCCTCAGGGCCTTGACACTCTTGAGGCCGCCGAAACCGTTGAGCACGATCGCCCGCATATCCTTCGGCTCCGGCGTGGTCTTCTCCTCGCCGTTCTCCTTCGGCTTCTCGCCTTCGCCATTCTCCTCGACTTTCTTCTCGTCCTCCTTGCGCTCCTTCGTCGGCTCTTCCTTGGCCGGCGGCGCCGCTGCCGCCGTTTCCTGCGGCGGCTTCTCGCCCTCGGCGCTCGGACTGGTCTCGTTCTTGTCCTCTGCCATCTTTATGTCCTCTTCCTCTTAGACGGCCTGAAACTCTGAAGCTCACGCGACGTCCTTTACCGCGAGACTGAGGATCTCCGGCGACCGGCGGCGGCGGCGGGGATACGTCAAGAAAGGGAGCGTGCGTCGTACCGTCCGTGATCGCGAAGCGACAGACGGAGGAGAGACAGACTGGAATGAAGGAGAGAAGGAGAAGGATGGAGAGAAAGAGAGAAAGATAGAAAGAGAAAGAGAGAAAGAGAAAGGAGGGAGAGAAAGCGCGCCCGTCCGTGTGAGTGGTCCGCTCCGCTTCGCACGGTATATCGTTTACAATCCGCCGCGTACGCGCTCCATGAAAGCCACCGTCGTTCTGGACGAAATTCTGCGCCGCTGTGTAAAAGTCTCTCTCTCTCTCTCTCTCTCTCTCTCTCCCCGTTCGTACTTCGTAGTGCCGGCTACGCCGGCCGGTAATGCGCGCGGTGTTGCCGTTGCTTAGCAACCGCGCGCCCCTGCCGGACAACCAATCGCACGTCGCCGATCGTAAAGTTCTCGTCGTCATTTGCTATGTTCTAATGTTCGTTCGAAGCGTACTGGACGCGCGCGCAGCCCGGCAGGTGCCGCGCCACGCCGCGTCGCGTCGCGTCGCCTCACGTCGCGTCGCGTCGCGTCGCGTCGCGGCGAGTCGCACCGCGCGCTTGCGACTCGCTGCTTCGCCGCGGCGAAGTAGTTCCCATTGCATCGCATCTCCTCCTCCCTACTCACGCTCCATCCCCTCCGATCACCGCGTGCTATAACCTAAAAATTTTTGAAAATGCCCCGATTCCGTGGCAGCTTCAAGCTGGCCGATCGATCCCGATGGATGTACTCGCTCTTTGTAATTAGAAATCGCGCGGAGCGATACCACCGAAGCGCTGTCTAACTGATCTTGATGACGCAACCGTGTAATTGTTCCTATGAATAATCGAAGGAAAGGGGGGAACGCGAAGGGCATATATATATATATATATATATACATATATTTTTTATGGGGTTCCACCACGGTCATCCCATCGAAAGAATTGCAAGTCGCCGAGCGGTTTCATCGAGTATGCAAAAATATATCTCGACATTTTTACTACAGAATGTTTTTCAGCAATTAGAGATAGATAAAGGCTAAGATAAATACAGTGTAACACGGTGAATAATTAGCATCTTTATTTATATCCCTATATTTACCGATGTTAAACAAATGAAATTTAAGTCACTGTGTTATTATAAGATCGCAAGGCAAAAAAAATTTAGCAATGAGCGAATTGGCCAATTACAATAGAGACCGCAAAGCCATAACATAAACAAATAGCAAATCCGTACATTTTCTTTCTGCTTACGTCTTCCTGCTTAAGTTTTTTTTTTGTGTGCCACGGCCCTTATAAGGAACATAGACCTTTGCATAATGCATGAAGCACGAGAAAATTAACTAATCAGAGTTTTTTATTTCATGGAAAGAAAAGAAAATTAAGAACTTTAATTTGTTCGTTTTTTTATGCATTACCTCTTAATATTCAAAACTTTGTACTTCCGTCTTTATACTGTGTGTCATTTCTTATGTCTCTTGCTGGAAAACACCAGTAGGATGCGATCTATATTACGCTTTTTGAGTGTGATGCATTCTTGCCTTCACTAAAAATGTTTGGAGATATTCGAAGATATTACTTTCCAACATTTTCTAAACAAAACAAATTATGATAATGTCCGAATAATGTTAAAATAAATCGTAACCGATCGAAAAATTTTAAGTGACTTTTATGGCCGTTTCTATCAATGCAATTTAATTTTAATTTTGGTTCAACTCTTCTTCTTCTAGTTCTAAAAATTTGAAGAAGATAAAAGATAAGTTGAATCGAGATTAAAGTTAATCTGCGTTAGTAATCATTTGGAGTCATTTTGACATTATTTCGAGGTCACAATAACTTGTGTTCTACTTGGATTCGAACTAAAATAAACGATATTGAATACGATAAATATTCAGCACATTCTTGCTATCGTAGAATAATATAGGGACGTTCATCGCGCGATCTTATCTGAAATTTCTGGTAGGGTTGAAAGCCGTCGATAAAACAATAGCGACGTTCAGAGTCTTGGGAAACACACGCCTTTATCGTATGAATCATTGCCTCAGATGCGTCAAAAGATCCAAGAACTTTCCATCGTCGATAAATTCGTGCGTCATTGTAAAAATTTACTTAGGACATTAATACGATTAATACTATAGAAACTATGAGAAATGTTGCCTGTGGCATAATTATCATACATTACATGCACAACAGTACATAAAACTTCAATATATTATTAATGTTTTATGTGAAAACCGTTACTCTGCTATTAAAGTGACTCGATGAGTTTTTGCCTATTAAGTAATTAAACTGTCGTACCAGACCGGCTGCATTCTGCCTTCTGTATGTATTGTACAAATAATATGCAATCATGCAACTTTACGTTTTTATCTTTCATACACATTAATGTTTTATTACCGATGTATGTGTGTGTGTGTGTGTGTGTTTGTGCAATAAATTTTATATATTATTCTCATTAAGTTTCATTATTTTATCATTATTTTATATTATAAATATTATTATAAAGTTTACGTCGAATAATTTTTAAATATCCTTTACCATAATTATTATTATGCAACCGGAAATACCTCGCACTAATTAATTCCATCAATTAATTAATGGATCCGTCAATCCATCAATTAATAATATTCTGTTGATTAAACGTCGATAAAAACGGCGATAGCGGATAGCAATTGCAGGCTTGGCGGTGCATTATTTTGATTAGGCCTGATTCCGTCAATATAAGATCAATTTTAACCTTGGCTCAACTTACTCATCGTCTTTCTCTAATTTTTATAACTAGAAAAAGATGAAAAGTAAATTGAACCGAGATTAAAAGTTAATCTACATTGATGGAGGCATTAGTCGACCAAACTTATATCCTGCAGCGAATGAACAAAAAACGTCGTAGAATAAAAAAAGGTTGCAATATGTTCGAAATGTAGGAGAAGACGCTTTCCGCGTTATAGGAAATTCATTTCGTGCGACCATCGTTTAGGCGAGTTCTCGCCGTTGTCCGTCTGCATTCGTATGCCGGTCTCTCGGCCCTGAAAATTCGCTCATCCTTTGCTCCTCGGCGTCGCCGGAAAGTAGTGCCCAGCAGACGACGCCCGAAACGCGCATGTATTCCTACGCCACGCACAGTGTGCGTGTGCTTTCCAAGTAAGAGTTCGAGATTTATAATAGGCCGTAATCCGTTAACTTTTTCCATAATCCGTAAGAATCGACCAATCACAGTCGAATGAGAGGAGAATAATCGACTACGATTGGTCGATTCTTACGGATTACGGAAAAAGTTAACAGATTACGGTCTATTATAAACCAACTCTCACACGCACGTACACACGCACATGTGCGCGCGCGAAGGAGTGCGTGCGTGCGCATCCTGCGTCCCATCCGTCTGTTCCTCGATTCAGCGAGAAACACGCCTCGCCAAATGCGAACTTCTACCGCATGGTCTCTCCTCCTCTCTTTCGATCGTCGGACGCAGCTGATATCGTGAACGCATCGCTCTCCGAGAAATCGATTGCGTTTCTCACACGATCGTTATACGTACCGTTCGCAAATGAGATTCGTGCCCACGAAACAAATCAGAGTCGGTCCCGTTGCGGTTTGGCAACATTATTGTGTCCGCGTCGCACGCTACGCGCTGTCGTTCACGATAGCGTAACGCGATTTTCGTCGACGAGAATTATCTCATGCTTTTGTTGGAATCTTTCCGATGACGATCGGATTTCGCGCGAAAGCGCGAATATCGCGCTGACAGACACGACAGTCATTATCAGCATACTTTTGCACAGTATGTGCATTTCATGCCGATTGCGTGACTGTAATAATTGATATACGATGTATGATTAGGATCACTCGACGTAGTCCACGTGTTACAATCGTCATGCGTTTATCGCGCGACAATGAACATCGCGATCTGCGGTGAGCCGTGCGGCTGAATTCGCGAAACAATTGGACTGGGTAATGAGAATCATGCGCGAGTGCAATGAGAGGATGTGCTGATTGGGATGAATGGCTTATATTGTCGGGAGGGCAAAAAGTGCCCGGAGCTTTTCTGTCGAGGTCTTCGGGAATGACTCGCGAATGTATACAGAACTCGTTTCTTTTTCCGAAACGTTTCTAAGTGACTGTACATTATTTCCTTGCATATGATATATAATCGCGACAATTGTCACTATGGAGAAACTAATGATCGTACAAAACGAAAAAAAAAAATTGATTTCGTTAAATATCTAAGAGTTTAGATAGATACAAAAAACAGGGTTGGTAAAGACTAATGTTTTTTTTTTTTAAGAATAAAACATACTGTGTTTCTTTTTAAATATGTTTTTAATGCTTCAAATATGTTTTAAACAGTACCATAAAAAACATATTTAAAACATTAAAAACATCAATTTAACATATTTTAAGCCTATTCTACAATGTGCTTTTTGTTTCCTGTTTCTTGCTTTGTACTATTTTTTGTATTTTGCCTTTTTGCTTCTTATCCCGATTTTCGTTTTCTGTTGCTCGAGATAAACGTTAATGAACTTCAAAAGAAACAGAAAACACATATCAAGAAATATAATTGTCGATAAAACGATCACAAAGAGGAAAAAAGCAAAAAGTAAAAAGCAAGAAACAGGAAACAAAGAGCACATTGTAGAACAACCATTAAACTGTTTAAAACATGTTTTTTACCAACTGATAAAAAATAATTTTGTTGACCATTAAAATAAGTATTGTAGGAAACTCAAGCATGATGAGTAATGCTGCAAAAAGTTTTGATATTGTAGCAACTATAGCTTGAATATTCTACATAATTATTTTGATGGTCCGACAAAATTATTTTCGGATTGCATCTACACTAATAAAATAAACTAAATTTTAACAAATTATCTGTTTGAGTCGGTACCAACTAAATATTTACATAAACATAAAAATATACATAGGTCGTCTGAAAAGTTTTGAGCTTCAACATGAAGATGGCATTACTCGTCAAAACAATTTTGGTACTATAATCGTACATACTTTGAAAGATACTTGCGAAAATTGTAGCTACTTCCGGCGCTTAGTTGTTGTTTGACAGTCATTTGTGCCAGTCAATGTCAATGTTTTTGTAAAAATGGAAAAAATCGAATATCAGCAGTCGCCATGATAAAAATTCACGAATTAAGGTTCGAATTAATTGACCATCCACCGTATTCACCAGATCTGGCCTCCAGCGACTTTTTTCTGCTTCCTAGGCTCAAAGTTTGGCTCGGAGGACAGAAATTTTCATCGAACGAGGTCATCGCATCCGTAGACGCCTATTTTGCAAAGCAAGACGCTCAGTATTATTTGAATGGA